ACCGGCAGCTCCAGCAGCTCCAGTACCCCCAGCAGCTCCAGCACCTCCAGCAGCTCCAGAAGCTCCAGCAGCAGAACCGACACCTCCAGGCCCAGGGTCTCCAACCCCAGTGCCTCCAGCAGCAGCACCCCCAGAACCAGTACCTCCAGTCCCAGGGTCTCCAGCCTCCACGTCTCCAGCAGCAGCACCCCCAGAACCAGCACCTCCAGTCCCAGGGTCTCCAGCCTCCACGTCTCCAGCAGCAGCACCCCCAGAACCAGCACCTCCAGTCCCAGGGTCTCCAGCCTCGGTGTCTCCAGCAGCAGCACCTCCAGACGCAGCACCCCCAGCCCCAGCAGCTCCAGTACCTCCAGTACGAGCACCTCCGGGACCAGCGACTCCAGAGGAGGAGACGCACGAGCACCTAGGGCAGCAGCCTCACCAGTACCGGGAGCAGCAGGTGCTATACCAGGGTCAGGCGGGACGCACAGGTAACAGGCACGGTCAACACTAGTAGGCAATGCATACATGGTTTCAGAGCACTAAGGTCCGTAGGACCGTTTTTTTCGGGCCCACGTACAACTGCGGTTACCGCGCTACCCCACGTACCTGCCTGCCTTGCCTTGCCTTGCCTTGTGACGTGCTGCACTACGCGAGCCGTCCAGCAGCCCTAGCGCTGCCTCCTGCTGCCCTAGGCCAGCGCGCTGCCCCTAAAGGCCCGTAAGGCCCGCGCGCCGCCCCTACACGCCCTCCAGGCCTGCGCAGCCCGCACCGAGCCGCGCGCAGCCCGTTGCTACCGCGCGCTGCCCCCACTGAGCCCGTGCAGCCCGCACAGAGCCGCGCGCAGCCCCCTGCAGCCGCGCGCAGCCCGCACCGAGCCGCGCGCAGCCCGCTGCAGCCGCGCGCAGCCCGCACCGAGCCGCGCGCAGCCCGCTGCAGCAGCGCGCAGCCCGTACCGAGCCGCGCGCAGCCCGCACCGAGCCGCGCGCAGCCCGCTGCAGCCGCGCGCAGCCCGCACCGAGCCGCGCGCAGCCCGCTGCAGCCGCGCGCAGCCCGCGCCGAGCCCACGCAGCCCGCGTAGCGCCGCGCGCGGGCCTACTCCTGCCTCGCGAGGCCCGCGCGCCGCCCGCTGCAGCCCGCGCGCGGCCCGCAGCAGCCCGCGCCGAGCCGCGCGCGGCTCGCCACTACCTAACGCGACCGCGCGCGGCCTGCAGCAGCCCAGCGCGCTGTCAGCGCAGCCCGCGCCGAGCCGCGCGCGTCCCTCTGCCTCGGCCCCGACCTGCCGCTGATACGGCCCCGCTCTGCAGCTGCCACGGCCCCGACCTGCCGCTGAAGCGGTCCCGCCTGCAGCTGCTTCGGCCCTACTCTGCACCGGGTGTTGCGGCCCCGACGTCGCCGCTGTCGTGCGCCTACTCCGCCGCCGCCCGTTGAGCGCCGGCCCTGCTCGCCCGGCGAGCGCCTGCTCTTCCAGCCTTTGGTGAGCGCCTGCCTGCCTGCCTGCCGGCCTGCCTGTCTGCTTGCCTGCCTGCCGGCCTGCCTGCCTGCCTGCCTGCCTGCCTGCCTGCCTGCCTGCCGGCCTGCCTGTCTGCCTGCCTGCCAGCCTGCCGGCCTGCCTGTCTGCTTGCCTGCCTGCCGGCCTGCCTGCCTGCCTGCCTACCTGCCGGCCTGCCTGTCTGCCTGCCTGCCAGCCTGCCGGCCTGCCTGTCTGCTTGCCTGCCTGCCGGCCTGCCTGCCTGCCTGCCTGCCTGCCTGCCTGCCTGCCGGCCTGCCTGTCTGCCTGCCTGCCAGCCTGCCGGCCTGCCTGCCTGCCTGCCTGCCTGCCTGCCTGCCTGCCTGCCTGTCGGCCTGCCGCGCCTGCCCTGCCCGCGCTACTGCTGCTGCTACTGCTACTGGCCGGTGGCCAGATGCAGCCCCAGCGACGTTCACGTGAGTCTCTCACGCCCCAGCAGCTTAGTGAGTGGTATACTAGCTGGGGTTGTCGCGGTAGCAGTCGTAGCTGTCCCCCTGGAGCTGGTCAGTTGGGAGCGACTGGCAGTGGCCAGCTGCAGCTGCAGCGGCGTCCACGCGAGACACTTACGTCCCGGCAGCTCCACGAGTGGTACGCTCAGTGTAGCAGGTCTACGCGTACAGTTCGCTGCCAGTACGTCCTTCGCACAGGTGATAGGACTGGTCAGCCTTGCGGGACGCTTGGTCACACACAGTCCCGCTGCTTCGCCCGTCTGAGCGACGACTGGCGTACAGTGTTTGGCGACGAGGCTGAGCTCCCCGACTGGCTGGAGCTGCTTGGACAGAGGGTAGATATCTTTGCTCCTGACTATGATGCTATTCTCTGATACCATGTTAGAATCTGACAGCAGGAATGAATTGCATTGATGAAGTGTTGGGTACATAAGCTAACCCTAACATTGGGTTGTACCCCATATGGGCTACCCCACTAGCAGCCTACACAAACACAATATGCATAGTTTGACACAATTCACATTAGGGCGACGCGCATTTGTGACACAATACGTTTTATGCTGTTTTTGCGCGTCACAAAGTGATTGAGACACAAATGTCTAGATGAGAATGTACCCTTAGAGAACGGCCTTATCAGCAGCTACCAGGCCCACAGATGTCAGACTTTTTTCTCTGATTTGGACTTTTTTCTCTGATATTTCAGATTTTTTTTCCTGTGTACTCTGATAAAATCAGACTTTTTTGGGCCTCAACTCTGTAATTTTCAGACTTTTTTTAAGGCTAACTCTGAGAGTTCAGAGTTTTCTGAGAGTGTACTCTGATCATTCAGAGTACAAACGCGTCCTTGACTGGTGATTCGGACTTACGGGTCACAGCAGATTCGCACTGCCAAAGCAAAATCGCCTTGACACAGCAAATCCGAGCCTTACATCACAAGATTTTCGCCCAATCATAGCAAAATCGCCCTGACACAACAGATTTGCGTTGTCAGAGCACCACAATTTTCGCCCAATCACAGCAAAATCGCCCTGACATTGCACATTCGCCTTTTCGCACCACAAGATTCGCCCTGACACATATATTCGCCCTGTCAGAGCATGTTTTATCGAAAATCCCCTTAGTGTAGCATGTTTCGGTAGCAGATGAATGAAACATTGAGCACACTTCCAGTGAAACATTGAATACAATGATTTTGAATGATCATACTTTTTTTTTTAAGACACTCTGACACTTCAGCCTTTTTTTTATACCAAGTCTGAGATTTTCAGACTAAAATTGTGTACTAGTCTGACGAATCAGACAGGCCAATAACGAATCTGAGGGCCTGGCAGCTACAACCACTAAGCGCAGCAGCACCTTTGGCCCCGGGGTGGTTTCTAGGATGTCGGGCATGCGTTTGCAGTGTCCTCCGGATATATGCCCCTGTTAAGAGAACTAGGCAAGAATGATTGAAAGGAGAGGGATTTCACTAGCAGCAGTTGGGGTACATATAGCAAACCCTAACTGGGTTGTACTCGCTATAGAGCACCCCACTACAGGCTAGATAATAATAACATTCTGATACACCCCCATAGCCAAAGTGGGGTGTAATCAGTACAATGAGCAGGCATAGCAATAGTTCACAATTATAAGTACAGCTAGAGGTGATCACAGAGGGCAAATGAGGAGGAGGAGAGACTGTGAGGGCGAGAAGATGAAAGGCGCTGACTGAAGCTGCAGACACACGGGCAACAGGAGCGGCGCGCACAGTGGCTACCGAGCGCACGAGGGCACCGGACTACGGGAGTATCTGGCTCTGCGGCTACGACGAGCACACACAGGAGCAACGGACCCACAGGCGACTGGCGAAGCAGGCTCGCTGGGCTACCGAAACGCGCGAGGGCATCCGGACTACTGGCGCTGCTGGCGTCACGACGGCTACCTCCACGCAACCTCCCCCGACCGTCCCACGCCCCTCTCACACACCCCCTGCTGCACCCCTAGCTCCACTCCCACGTCACCCCCCTTAAACCCTAAACCCTCGGCTCCCACACACCCACCCCCCTCAGCGGCAGCTGCAGCAGTGGGAGACGGAGGAGGAGGAGGAGCTGCAGGTTACCCACACCGGTCACCCCCATGCCCGCCACCCCCAAACCCTAACGCAGGCAGGAGCGCAGGAAGCAGCAGGGGCGGGGCACGGAGGGAAAGGGAGGCGGCGGGGTGGCTCCTGGGCGCCACGAAGAAGCAGGGCGCGGGCCCCCCGAGGGCGCCACGGCGGGTGACGGGAGGGGGGCCGCGCACGGGCCCCCGAGGGCGGCTCGACGGGCGACGGGAGGGGCCGCGCGCGGGCCCCCAAGGCGCCGCGACGAGGCGACGGGAGGGGGGGACGCGCGGGCCCCCAAGGCGCCGCGACGAGGCGACGGGAGGGGCCGGCGCGCGGGCCCCCAGGGCGCCGCGACGAGGCGACGGGAGGGGGCGACGCGCGGGCCCCCAGGGCGCCGCGACGGGCAGAAAACCGCCGCGCGCCTCGGGGCGCACGGCGGGCAGAAAACCGCCGTACGCCCCGAGCGCACGGCGGGATGAAAAACCCTAAAAATTTCGCCGCGCGCTCCGCGCACGGCAGGAAGAAGGCGGCGCGCGCCCGAGGCGCGCGAGAAGCAGAACAGCAGCGGAAGCAGTTAGGTGGCGGGCCCACCCACAGGATCGACCCAAGGGGGTCGACCTGCTCTGATACCATGTTAAGAGAACTAGGCAAGAATGATTGAAAGGAGAGGGATTTCACTAGCAGCAGTTGGGGTACATATAGCAAACCCTAACTGGGTTGTACTCGCTATAGAGCACCCCACTACAGGCTAGATAATAATAACATTCTGACAGCCCCTGGTCACTTCACGGGGTGTGACGACAACCATAACCCCCCCTGGATAAAAGACTCTAGGGTCTTATAATAATGCTATAAAAAAAATGGGTGGGTCTTAGGCTAGTGTAAGACGAAGTGTAAGACGAGAGGCCTTTCATATGACCATTACTTTTTAACGTGTATTTGAATGCATACATGTTTTTGCACCGTAAACCCTAAAGTGTTACAGACTTCAACAAATGAAATGTCAAAATTGTAAAAGCCATCACTTAACAATTGTGTACTTACTATACGTTAAACCTAAATAGCATAACGTCCCCCTCTTGCACGACATACTCTTTGCCCTCAGCCCGCAGCTGCCCAAGAACACGGACAGAGATGTATTCAGCATCAGTGAGGAGAGAAGCATGCATGGAAACAGAGAAGCACACATGGTAGCAGGGAAGCATGTATGGCAAGTTGGTAGCATGTATGGCAAGTTGGAAGCATGCATGGCAAGTTGGAAGCATGTATGGCAAGTTGGAAGCATGCATGGCAAGTTGGAAGCATGTATGGCAAGTTGGAAGCATGCATGGCAAGTTGGAAGCATGCATGGCAAGTTGGAAGCATGCATGGCAAGTTGGAAGCATGTATGGCAAGTTGGAAGCATGTATGGCAAGTTGGAAGCATGTATGGCAAGTTGGAAGCATGTATGGCAAGTTGGAAGCATGTACGGCAAGAGAGACGCCATGCGGATGCAAATCGAGGCAATGTGAATTGAGTTGAGGGACTCACGAGGCCTTTCTCCTTGGCAGCCGTGTACGAGCCACTCGCCACAAAGTCATTGTATGATATCTGTATGCCCACATGCACGCCCACATGCACGCCCACATGCACGCCCACATGCACACAACAATGTTAGCATCATCAAGTTACCACGGCTGGCACGGGTGGCCAATGCTGTGGTGGGCGAGGAGAGGCGTGAGATGCGATGCAGCCACACACAAGGGGATTGTGGGCACAGCACGTGGTGCTAAGAATCACTAGTGGTGGGTGCAAAGAGAGAGACCATGTGGGATGGGGAGAGAGAGCGAGGTACGAGAAGAAGCAAGGAGGTGAGGGGCGAGGGGGCAAGGAGGTGAGGGGCGAGGGGGCAATGGGCGAAGGAGAGAGGGAGGGAGGGGTGGGGGCGGTACGGTCTCGGCGCGGATGAAGCCGCGCTCGAAGTCGCTGTGGATCACACCCGCCGCCTGCGGTGCCGTCATGCCCGCCCGGATCGTCCACGCCCTCGTCTCCTGCGCGCATGCACGCACACACGCAGGGGGTGTGCGAGACATTGGGTATGGGGCATGGCAGGCGTGGGGCATGGCAGGCGTGGGGCATGGCAGGCGTGGGGCATGGCAGGCGTGGGGCATGGGAAAGCCTCGATACTGTACACCACCATGGCCTCCTACCAGCCCTCGCAACTCCATGTCCCTTACCCCTTGCACTGTAACCCTCCCACCTCCCCCCTCCCCGCTCTGACCACCCCCACCTTCTCCCCCGCAGTGAAGTAGGTGCGCAGGCCCAGCAGGCGGTACGTGGCCTGCACGAGGGCGGCCAGCCCGCCCTGCTGCACGCCCAGCGACTGCAGGTACTCGGCGCGGTCCGCCTCGCCCAGCTCACACAGCTCCGCCTCCACCTGCCATGGCCCCGGCCCCGTGGGCAAGGTGAGGGTGGATGCAGTGAGGGTGGATGCAGTGAGGGTGGGTACGGTGAGGGTGAGTACGGGGAGGGTGGGCAGAGTAACCGGCGAATGTGGCAAGAACTCCAGAGTGGGAGGAACCAACGGAGCAACGGGGAAACACACCTGCGCGGACACCACAACGCACTCGGCGCCTTCAGTGGCCGCCAGGTGGCGCACAGCGGCGACGTGCGGGTTGGAGGAGGGGTCAGCGAGGTCGGTCTCAGCGACGTTGGCGGCGTAGATGATGGGCTTGGCCGTCAGCAGGCACAGCTGCGCCACCAGAGGCGCCTCCTCCTCGCTCAGCTCCACGCTGCGCGCCGCCCCCCCCCCCAGCAGCGCCTCCCTTATGCGCTCCAACGCCCCCGCCTCCGCCTCCTCCTGGGGGATGGAGTTGGGAGGGTTGGGGGAGGAGAGAGGGGGCATGGGGAGAGGTGAGGTGTGGGGGACATGCGTTGTGGGGGCCGACCGAGAGTATGGGAAGGAACACAGGGGTGGACGGGAGTCAACAGACAACAGGCAGAGGGCGGAGGGCGGAATGCAGACGGAGGACGGCGGAGAGGGGAGGGCAGAGGGAGGAGGGCAGGGGGGAAAGGCGGAGGGCGGAGGGGGGGGCATGGTCTGACCCGGGAGCGAGCCTGTGGGTCCTTGGAGCGACTCTTGGTCAACCGCTCCATGCGCTTCTCTATCTGCCGTGCGCATGGTGGATGGGTGGGGGGGTGCATGCACCGTGGCATCATTGTGCCGTGGCACAGAAACAGAATGAATGTGCTTAGTGTTGAAATAAATACATGCATGCAATGAATCAGTATGAGAAGTTACGGAGCAGGAGGTGTGATGATGCTACAGAAGCAGCAGCACTGGCAGCAGCAGGAGCAGAAGGGTGAAATGATGCGTGTATCTGGGAGAGGTGAGCTCCATGTGCCCCATGTGAGCACACGGGAGAGGTCAGCTCATCTGCATGTACTTGCCTGGGAGAGGTCAGCTCATCTGCATGTACTTGCCTGGGAGAGGTCAGCTCATCTGCATGTACTTGCCTGGGAGAGGTCAGCTCATCTGCGTGTACTTGCCTGGGAGAGGTCAGCTCATCTGCGTGTACTTGCCTGGGAGAGGTCAGCTCATCTGCATGTACTTGCCTGGGAGAGGTCGCTGAGGGCGAGCTCGAGGTTGATGACATCCATGTCGGCGGTGGGGTTGACGGCGCCACTCACATGCACGATGTCACTGTCCTCAAAGCACCGCACCACCTGTGCCCCCCACACACACATGCACACATGCACACATGCACACATGCACACATGCACACATGCACACATGCACACATGCACACACGGTGAGTGAGGTGAGAGAGTGTGGCAGTTGAGGGCAGTTGTGATGGCGCAGAGCAGAGCATGCACCATCCACTTCCCAATCACGCCCGTGCCACATGCTCATGCCACGCCATGCCTCATGCTAATGCCATGCCACGCCATGCCTCATGCTAATGCCATGCCACGCCATGCCTCATGCTAATGCCATGCCACGCCATGCCTCATGCTAATGCCATGCCACGCCATGCCTCATGCTAATGCCATGCCACGCCATGCCTCATGCTAATGCCATGCCACGCCATGCCTCATGCTAATGCCATGCCACGCCATGCCTCATCTCATGCTAATGCCATGCCACGCCATGCCTCATCACACCTCCCAGCATGCCTCATGGGCACCTCACCTGCACCACGGCACCTCACCTGCACCACGGCACCTCACCTCACCTCACCTCACCTCACCTCACCTCACCTCACCTCACCTCACCTCACCTCACCTGCACCACGGCACCTCACCTCACCTCACCTCACCTCACCTCACCTCACCTCACCTCACCTCACCTCACCTCACCTCACCTCACCTCACCTCACCTCACCTGCACGACGGAGTCCACCTCTCGGATGTGCGACAGGAACTTGTTGCCCAGGCCCTGGCAAGAGGGACGAGCAGGAGTTGGTAGTGAGTGAGTGGCAGAACAGAAAGCAAGCAAGAGGGACGAGCAGGAGTTGGTAATGAGTGAGTGGCAGAAAGCAAGCAAGAGGAACGGTGAAGTCGCTCAGCCTGTCTGCCATTGTGCCTGCCACAACAGCCGCCCCCCTCCTCCCCCCCCCACCTCGCCCTGGCTGGCGCCCTTGACAAGCCCGGCGATGTCCACGAACTCCACCGTGGCCGGCAGCGTGCGCCGCGACGCCGTCAGCTGCGACAGCACGGCCAGGCGCGGGTCGGGCACGGCCACGACGCCCACGTTGGGCTCGATGGTGCAGAAGGGGAAGTTGGCCGCCTGTGCCTTGCCGTTCTCCACCTGACGGGGATGAGCAGGGGGAGGGGGGTGAAGGGAGACGGAATGAGCAGGGGGAGGGGGGTGAAGGGAGACGGAATGAGGGGGGTGAAGGGAGACGGAATGGAGGGGGGTGAAGGGAGACGGAATGGAGGGGGGTGAAGGGAGACGGAATGAGGGGGCGGGAGAAGAAGCGGCGAGCATAGTGGCGAAGGGGGGCCATAGGCGGTATGCATTGTGCATCATTGAGCAACTTAGGCGGAGTGCAGGCAGTGGGGTTCGTGTGTGGCAGTGGGGTTCGTGTGTGGCAGTGGGGTTCGTGAGTGGCAGTGGGGTTCGTGAGTGGCAGTGGGGTTCGTGAGTGGCATGGGCGCAGGTGGAGTTGAGCAGCGGAGGAGGAGGAGGAGTAGATGATGGGTGCAGCATCAAGGGAGGGAGGAATGGGCGAGGGGGGAGCGAGTGGGGCGGGGCGGGCGGGGCACTGACGAGGGCGTTGAAGAGCGTGGACTCACGAGGACGTTGAAGAGCGTGGACTCACGAGGACGTTGAAGAGCGTGGACTCACGAGGGCGTTGAAGAGCGTGGACTCACGAGGGCGTTGAAGAGCGTGGACTCACGAGGACGTTGAAGAGCGTGGACTCACGAGGGCGTTGAAGAGCGTGGACTCACGAGGGCGTTGAAGAGCGTGGACTCACGAGGACGTTGAAGAGCGTGGACTCACGAGGGCGTTGAAGAGCGTGGACTTGCCCACGTTGGGCAGCCCCACGATGCCGCTGCGCAGCGCCATGCTCACCCGCGCGCCCCCCCGCCCCACCCCCGCCGCCTCCGAGAACGCCCGCGCTGCCGTCTGCTGGTGGGGGGGTGTGAATGGGTGGACCGGGGGAGGAGGGAGGCCAGGGGGAGGGGATGTGTTGCAGGGGGTGGCAATGGAGTGCGCGCAGAGGAGGTGGCGGGAAGACGGTGGAGAGATGGTAGCGCGCAGGGGAACACACGTGGCACGGGGGACGAATGGGGGCGGCGAGTGGGCGGCCTAGCACGGGGCAAGCGACGAGCACAGGCGACCCACCAGCGGCGCGAGGAGGCGCGGCGAGGCGACGAGGCCGTGAATGCGCGCCTTGAGGCCCACCCCCACGCGCGCCGTGGCGCACGCCGCCACTGCCGCCGCCATGCCCACTGCTGCCGTGCTGCGCGGCGCCGCGGCGATTCTCCTCGTGCTGAGAGGGCGAGAGGGCGAGAGGGTGCGAGGGAAAGGGTGGATAGAGAGGTTGAGTGACGCGCGGGGCTGGTGGAGGGGAGGGGAGAGCAGGCGCGCACACGCAGGGAAGGGAGAATGATGGGTGAGAGCGATGGGGAAGAGCGGCGAGGGGAGAAGAGGTGACGGCGGGGATGTGAAGTGGCGCGGCACGACGGAGGCAGCAGCGCGGTGAGGCACGACGGCTGAGGTGCGGCGAGGGAAGGGGAATCCGGGAAAAGGGGGCGAAGAGGACGCGCAAGGGGGGGGGAGGCCCACGCGATGGCCGCGACGGCAGCGGGAGAGGAACACGGCCTCGCGCTTACTCTACCGGGGGGTGCGCGAGGAGAGCAGCGCGGAGGAGCGGGGCGCGGAGGCGGCAGAAGACAGGAGGGCGGAGAGTCGCCAGGGGAGCGCGACGGCGAGGAAACGGCGCGAAAAAGGAGTTATTTGCAAGTTTGACGGTGCGCCGTGGCAGCGTTTGCTTGATGGCACGTTATTTTGCTGGGGTTTTGGGCTTTCAAAAGTTGCCTGAAGTCAATAACGAGTGTGATTGCACCTGATGCTCACTCAAACTTTGCTCACTCTAAGGGCGTGTAAAACCGCCGCAGTGTTCCGAAAATAGGGTATGGCCGAATTTTCGTCGACCAAAATGGTGAACAACGCGAACAACGACGAGGTGGCCGAATCAGAGTCGACTCTTCTACAGCCACCATTTACAGTTTTGGCGATTTTACAACTTTTATTTTATGGATTAAGTTTTATACAAAGTCGTGGAAATGAAGATGAGAGGTTTTAGAGGAAGAGAACGAAAGGAAGAAGTGGTGGAACAAGGAAAGGGTGACAAGGAGAGAAGAGCAGGAGAGAAAGAGAAGGGAAAATGGGAAGGTGGAAAGAGGAAAAGGAGAAAGAAACTAAAGAAAAGAGGCACCTAAGGACCAAGCGCCATCGCAACCCGTACAACAACGCGGGACACGGCGTTTCAAGCACCGCCTCTAACTACCTACACATATGCATCGTACATGTACTGCATGTCTGCCACACTCTCCAAGCAGCCGGTAATGTGATGCCAACTGCCCTGCCCTGCCCTGCACCATGTGTCAAACTATGTATGTTATACTTTTGTAGGCTGTAGTGGGGTAGCCAATATGGGGTACAACCCCTCTAGGGTTTGTTACTTGTACCCAACCTTCTTTCAATGCATTCATTCTTGCCTAGACTTTCTAACATGGTTTCAGAGCGGTTCGTCCGTTAGGACCGGATTTTTTTTTCTTGGGCCCACCGAATGCCTGCCTGCCTGCGGTTACCGCGCTGCCCCACACGCGCCCTGCCTTGCCTGCATGTCGCGCCGCCCCTAAGGCCCGCCCCTGCCTTGCTTGCCCGTCGCGTCGCCCCAAGCCCGCGCCAGGACCCCGCCTGCCAGTCGTGTCGCCCTAAGGCCCGCGCCTGCCCAGTGCCTGCCCGTCGCGTCGCCCTAAGCCCGCGCCCGGCCCCCTGCCTGCCCGTCGCGTCGCCCTAAGCCCGCGCCCGGCCCCTTGCCTGCCCGTCGCGTCGCCCTAAGCCCGCGCCCGGCCCCCTGCCTGCCCGTCGCGTCGCCCTAAGCCCGCGCCCGGCCCCCTGCCTGCCCGTCGCGTCGCCCTAAGCCCGCGCCCGGCCCCCTGCCTGCCCGTCGCGTCGCCCTAAGCCCGCGCCCGGCCCCCTGCCTGCCCGTCGCGTCGCCCTAAGCCCGCGACTGACCCCCTGCCTGCCCGTCGCGTCGCCCTAAGCCCGCGACCGACCCCCTGCCTGCCCGTCGCGTCGCCCTAAGCCCGCGCCCGGCCCCCTGCCTGCGTGTCGCGTCGCCCTAAGCCCGCGCCCGGCCCCCTGCCTGCCCGTCACGGTGCCCTACAGCCCGCGCCCGGCCACCTGCCTGCTCGTCGCGTCACCCTCACGCCCGCGGCCCTACCCTGCAGCCGACGCGCCCCGCGCGACACCGCCCTACCGCCGACGCAGCCCCGCCGGGTAGCGGCCCCGCCCTGCCGCCGGCGCGGCCCCGTCCTACCATTGTCGCGGCCCCGCCCTGCCACCGACGCGGCCCAGCCTGGCCCCGCCTTGCCGCCGACACTGCCCCGCCCTGCAGCTGACGCGGCCTTCCTCTGCAGCCAGGTTTGCGGCCCCGCTGCCCGCCACGCGCCGGCCCTCCCTGCCATCGGTGAGCATGCTGCTGCGCCATCTGCCTGCCTGCCTGCCTGCCTGCTGCGCTGCTGCTCCTACTACCAGTGCTGCTCCTGGCGGTGGCCAGATGCAGCTCCAGTGCCGTCCGCGCGAGTCTCTCACGCCCCAGCAGCTTCGTGAGTGGTACGCTAGTTGGGGTTGTGGCGGTAGCCGTCGTGGCTGTCGCCCTGGAGCTGGGCAGTCGGGAGCGTCTGGTAGTGGCCAGCTGCAGCTGCAGCGGCGTCCGCGCGAGACACTTTCGCCCCAGCAGCTTCATGAGTGGTACGCTCAGAGTAGAGGGTCTCGGAGTACCGTTCGCTGCCCGTACGTCATTCGCACAGGTGCTCGGGCTGGTCAGGCTTGCGGGACGCTTGGTCACACACAGTCCCACTGCTTCGCCCGTCTGAGCGACGCCTGGCGTACCGAGTTTGGCGACGAGGCTGAGCTCCCCACCCGGCTGGAGCTGCTTAGGCAGTGGGTAGATATCTTTGCTCTTGACAGTGATGCTATTCTCACTGCCATGTATGCATTGCCTACTAGTACTGACGGTGCCTGTTACCTGTGCGTACTGATTGACCCCGGAATAGACCCTGCTGCTCTCGGTGCTGGTGAGGCTGCTGCTCTAGGTGCTCGTGCGTCTTCTGCTCTAGGTGCTGGTGAGGCTGCTGCTCTAGGTGCTAGTGCGTCTCCTGCTCTAGGTGCTGGTGAGGCTGCTGCTTCAGGTGTTGGTGAGTCTGCTCTCTCTGGTACTGCGCCTGCTGCGGTCTTGCACACCTTCACCCTTGACTCAGGAGCTTCCCGCTCCTTCTTTTGCGACTGCACCACACTCACGCCGCTTAGTCGGCCGGTTGCAGTCTCCCTGGCGGACCCCTCTGGGGGTCCTGTCCTTGCCTACTACTCCACGGTTCTGCTGTCTCCGGCCGCCCCGTCTGGCTCGCTGTCAGGTCTCTACCTCCCCTCGTTCTCTACGAACTTGGTGAGTGGAGCTGACCTCCAGGATGGCGGGGTTGACCAGTTCACTCCTGCGAGTCAGCGAGTGACTCACTGTACGTGTGCTCGGACGGGCCGACACCTGGCCACGTTTACCCGTGCGCCTGGCTCGAGTCTGTACACACTGACCACTGTGTCCCCTCAGGTAGCTGCGTCTGCGTCTGCGTCAGGTCAGCTAGCGGCCCCCTGCTCGTGTCGCGCTTTGTCGCACCAGACCCTCCTTTGGCACCACCGCCTTGGTCACCCCTCGGTGCAGCGCCTTCGTAGCATGCACCGCCGTGTCCTTGTCTCTGGTCTTCCCCGGGTTCTCCCTCCCCTCCCACCCTCGCCCGCTCCTCCCTGTCTTCCCTGTGTCGAGGGGCGGCAGCGCGCTGCTCCTCACTCCTCCTCGTTCCCTCCCACAGAGGCTCCCCTGCAGACACTACCTGGACGTGTGGGGCCCAGCCCACGTCCGTGGACAGGGCCACGAGCAGTACTTCCTGCTGGTCGTCGACGACTACACGCGCTACACCATGGTCTTCCCCTTGCAGCGCAAGGCGGATGTCCCTGCTGTTTTGATCCCTTGGATCCGCGCTGCCCGTCTCCAGCTCCGCGAGCGGTTCGGGACGGAGTTTCCCGTCCTGCGTCTGCACTCTGACAGAGGTGGTGAGTTCTCCTCCGACCTCTTGGCAGCCTTCTGTACGGAGCACGGCATTCGTCAGACGTTCACGCTTCTGGCCTCTCCGCAGCAGAATGGGGTTGCTGAATGCCGCATTGGCTTAGTCATGGAAGTCGCTCGTACCTCCATGATCCATGCGGTTGCCCCCCATTTTCTGTGGCCGTTTGCGGTCAGGTACGCTGCGCACCAGCTCAACCTCTGGCCCCGTGTCTCCTTACCGGAGACCTCGCCATTTTTGGGAGGGATCAACCCTAAACACGGGAACCTACCTGGCGTTTAGGGTTGATGCCTCCCCGAGTCACAACCGTTTCTGAGGGTTTTTTTTTTTTTTTTTTTTTTTTTTTTTAAGGGTCGGGTAGAGCGACGTGTCGCAGTAATATATACACGATGAAACATACCCCCAGAGGAAGACGACGCGAGCTTCCTATGAGAATAACATTGAGTCAACAACGTCGCTATTTTATGAATTTCCTTTAAATTTAGGTTCGAGTTATCTGCCCAGCCATATGGGCAGCTCCGGGGATGTATCGAACGGTTGAGATTTACCCGGCCCAAATTTGGACACCCCTATGCTATTTTTTGGCCCCAGTTTGATCTTTGCCCTAATTCGGACGTCCCGTTGTCCGATTGGTTGTCCGAGAATTTTGCTCAAACCCACGGAAGCGCGATTTGTTTTAAATTCGCCACGTGGCGATCCTATGATCGCGTAAACTGC